TCCTAGATCCATTCCAGTTTCTTAGTAGCTATGAACTTCAGTGCAGAATTTTAGCCTATGGGATGAAGAGCAAACCAAGCCATAAGAGTAGGGCCAGCACCAGGATTCAAGCCTTCTGGGCATCGCTTGAGGTTCTGAGTCATGCGCTAGTAATTTTCATACAGTGCTTGACAATACTATACCTAAAACAGCAGACAAGATAACCTCTCTCCGATTTTTGCTTTTGATGAATAAATATCTACAAGAGAAATTGCCGGGCAGAGGGCATTAATGCAGCTTTTGCTACATATAAATAGGAAGTGTGAGCCTCTTTCCAGGCCCTCCAGCAGTGAAGAGGAAGGAGAGTCTTCCTGAGCTTATCCACAAGGGGACTACGGGATATTCTTTAATGTGTTAATTTTGTCAGTAATTTGTAGACCTTGGTGTGCTTTTAAAATATGCACTGATTTTATCACAAGTGAACCTGTGCTCCTGTTTTTCTCTTATACAGATTGACCATCTCTGCTCCCTTCTTTCCTTTTTTCCTCAAACTTTCTGCTCATATCTTTGGCCCATTTGGTTGGAGTATTTTATTTTTTTCTTACAGACTTATAAGAAATTCTTAATTTAATGATAATGCTAAGTTTTTTCTGACATGTACTTTACAAATATTTTTCCAGTTTATCACATGCACTTAAGTGTTTGACTAATAATTTTTTGGGGGGGAGGAAGATAATTAGGTTAATTAGTTAAAAATTTGTGTCTGTGTGCATGTAGGATGTAATTGGGTTCATTTATTTATTTATTTTAATGGCAGTACTGGGTATTGAACCGAGGACCTCATGCATGCTCAGCACACACTACCACTGAACTATACCCTCTCCTCCAATAACTTAAAACATATTTTAAAAAATTTTACATGGTTTTATCTCTTAATTATTTTTCTTTTTTTCTTTTGGTTTCTGTGGTACATTCCTGGGTGTCCCTCTCTATGTTGAAAACTCTTGGGTTTTTTTCAAAGTTGGTAATTTTAGCTCCTGTAATGGGAAGGTTTTTCAAAGGAAAATCTTGACCATTTTTACATGGAGCCTGGTATTGTTTTTGGATTAAACATTCTATTCCTTTACATCATCACTTCTTTTCAGATTTAACTTTATTGTGGAAAATATTAAACATACACAGAAGCAGAACAAATAGTATAATGAAACCTGATTTATTCATCTCTCAGCTTTAATAATGATCAGCTCAGTCATTCTTACTTAATCTGCCCCTTTCTCTTTTCTTCCCCCTTTGAGGCAAATTCTAGATATCCTATCATTTCACCCATAAATACTTCAGTTTATCTCTCTAACACAAAATGTTTTTTAAGAACAAAGTCACTGTATCATTTTTACACCAAATACAATAATCATTAATACTTCAATAGGTAGTCACATAAAAATTTACATCAAACTATCTTTTTTCAGCTACTTTGCTGGATTCATGGTCTAGACAAAGTCCCCACCTATCACTTCACTGATGTGTCTTTCGGGTCTCTTTTAATTTGTAATTGTTCTCTGTCCCTTTTTCATGCATATTTGTTGAAGAAACTGGGGCATGAGTCATTGTCCTACAGAGTGTATTATGTCCTGGATTTAACTACTACCCTCCTGTTGAACAAGTTTTTTTTTTATCCTCTATGCTTCCTGCAAATTGGTGGTTATAGCCAAGGCTCAATTAAATTCAGGATTTTTTTTTTGCAAGCATACTTTACATGAATTGGGAGTTGTAGATTTGCAGATGCTAGCTATTACATATAAAATAGATAAACACCAAGGTCCTACTGTATAGCACGGGGAATTATATTCAATATCTTGTAGTCACCTATGATGAAAAAGAATATGAAAAGGAGTATAAGTAAAGAATACTTTATATGAATGATATGCACTTTCTATTGCATCATATTGGGAACCAATAACGTCTGTTCATGTCACTTTTATGTTATTAATATTGATTGGTGAGTTTAGGTGTTGTGGGCCTAGGAATCACCAATTGTTTGCGTTTCTATTGATAACTTGCTCCAGAATTCAGGGGCAGTAGGTTGGAGTCAGAAACACCTGGGTTCAAGTATTGGTTCTGCCAGTTACTTGTCCTGCTTGGGCTAAGTTGCCCAGCCTCTCAGACTTTTCAAGGCTTACTCAGCTCTGAGAAGCAGATAATTTGTTTTGTGTGTGGGATGTTCTTGGAACGGGGTGAGTTCTTTGTGCAGGGCCTTGGCATGGTGTGAAAGATTATTAGCGGTGACTGACTGCCATTGGTTTCAGCAGATAGAATTAGTTTAGATGATGTTAAAGGTCTTTCCAAATCTGAGGTTCTCGGATGAATGATCAGGCAGCTTCTATAGTTGGGTTACACATGTGTTCAGAGAAAAGCTGTAGGCAGAAGGCTCTCATCCATCTGTAATAGCTCAATAGAGATGACAATTCTGCCAGATTTGGGTCCTGTGGGCAGAGTTGAAAGGTCTATAAATCTGCATTTTCTTTTCAAGTCTTGGTTTATAACAGCTCACCAAATGTGTCACCAAGATGAAGATAGATTGTAATGATTACATTCTGGTAATTCACTAAAATTTACTGAAATTAATGCTCAGTCATGTTATAGGCCAGACCCCATCTGGCTTCAATCAGTGGCAGACAAAGCTCCATGCCTGGACAGAAGGATTGAGCCTGTGTCTATGCAGGAAAGGCTGTGTGCAGATCCACAGCTGAACAATTACCTGGCAAACAATGCTATAGTGGATGGTGTAGTCCTTGTAAGGCAGTAACTCCATAGCTGCTATTCGTTCACAAATATTGTGAACACCTTTTATGTGCCAGGCACTGTTCTAGGTGCTTAGGATAGATTACTGAGCAATACCAAGTTCCCTGTCCTCCCAGTGCTGAAGCATATTGACATTGGGGGATGTGTAGCCAACAAATAACATATAATCTATAAATTACAGAGCAAGTCAGAAAGTGATACGAATCATGGTGAAAAAAAAAAAAAGGTGTAGAGTGGACTGAGGGGATTTGGAATGCCCTGGGAAGGATGTGACTGAAGTTTTGGGTGGAATGGTCAGGGCAGGTAAGACAATGACAGCGTCTTCAGACTCCATACACTCAGTAAACTATTCGCTTGGCACTGATCTTGGTCCCGAGTTAAATTGCGATGCTCAGAAGGTCCATTGTTCCCTGACATTGCTGCCCTGGATGCCCAAATCATGGGGCTGCCCCTTCCTCTGCTATCTGCTCTCTGCCCTCTAGGTAGTCCTGGACCCTCTCACCCTCTTAAGCTCGTCTTCAGGCCATGATTTCACCTTCAGCTCTTCTGGAGCTCACGGTACTTCATTTATTCCCTTAAAGGCACCTTCTCCTTCTCCCCGAGCCCTATAGGAACTAAGAGGCCTCTTGGCCCCATCACTTTGCCAGGACAATTTTGCTTTCCAGAGAAGACTTTGCACTGAGAAGTTTTGGGCATTTCTGGAGGAACACTATCTCATCATCACTACCGTTGTCATCACCACCATCATTATCACCATCACCACCACCATCACCACCACCATCATCACCACCACTGTCACCCTCACCATTATCACCATCCCCACCACTATCATCATCTCTACCACCATCATCATCACCATTACCATCACCACCATCTTCTCATCCCCAAGAGTCTGATGGGGAGTGTCACGCGTAAGCCACACGTGGACTTGGTTGACAAACTCTCCTGAGCCTGGCTTGGTGGGTGGGCTGACCAAGGTTTTTGTTTCTCACAGGAAGACAGCTTTGTGCAGGCCCTTGTTTAACCTGGTTTTCCCTCTTTAGACAGAGAATTTTCACCAGATGAGTCATGCCTAACACGCTTGCTGGAGCCAGAGATGTTTGGCTTCCCAAGCTGTTTACTACGGCACAGACTTTGTCTCATAAGTGTTCTTAGGAAGTGACAACAGACAGAAAATTATAATTGTTTTTGCCTAAAAAAAAGCTGGAGACCTGGAAATGAGCCAGTTCTGGGCAGAAGGGAGTTCCTATCTGCTGGCCTATTCAATGTCATGCAGAACAACAACTTCGGGGTTGCCCTGGTGACATGCCCTCTATGCAGTGAGGTGAAGCACTTCCACCTGTGTTATCTGGGTGGCCCTAATCATGGCCCCAGCAGGTGGCTGTTGTCACTTACTGCCTTCATAGGTGTAGCCCTCAGACTCAGAGCCTGTACCCAGTAAGGAGAAGGCTTGGGAGTTGTTCCCTCATCTCCCCATTTGAAAATCCAGCTCATTCTGAGCTAGGCTGGTATTTTTCTGCTTGTTCTCTGTATTTCCTTCATGTCGTGTGGTTTGATGGACCTGCACTTATTTTTAACATTTCACCCTTGAGCAATGGAGACCCTAAGAACACTTAATGATGTTACCTGGAATTTACTTTCACCCAACAACTTGGAGTCAGGACTGAAAGGCTCATTCCCTCTATGCTGCCTCCCCCAACCCTGCCTCCCTCAACCCCGGTGTACAAAGGTGGAGAGTGAGGCCAGGAGGGCTGAGGAGGGTTCCCCTGCAAGGCCTGGCTGCTGGAAGCCCTTAACCCTGGGCTGGCTCCTCACCTGCACCGTCTTGCCCATCCATCCTTGCTCTGATGACCAGCTGCCTGTGGCATTCTCTGGTCATCCAAGGAGAGAGCTCACTGCTCATACATGAGGCAGCGCTCAGTATGTATTATGTCAGATGGAATCAAATGGAACAGGTCTGTACCATGGCTATGCCAGGTGGGCCCCCGCTCCCTCCCTCGGCTGACTTCCTCCCATCGCCTCCTGGCTTTGAGATGGGAGGGGGCACTGAGGGACTTGGGGAGGGAGGAGAGTGTGGTGGGTAGGGCCTGGGTCTGGGTTCTGACAGCCCAAGTGTTTGTGGGTCAGGTCATTTAACTCAGATGCTAACTTCCTGTGCTTTTTGCTTTGATTTTGCACCTTGAACATGGCTCCATTGGGCTCTTTTCTTTTTGTGATACTAGAGATGATCTCTGGTAAATCATGGAGCGACTGCTCGGCCTGCCCTCCTGCCCAGCATGAGAGCATCTTGAGCCCCGGGGCCCTTCAGAGGTCTCCACTGCAGGTCACTGCATGCATGCAGCTGTAGCCCAGCCTGGGGAAACAGCCACAGGGGAGCTGAGGAGACCAGGACGAACCTGGGGCCCAGAGAACGCGTCTGGGTGTGCAAGAATGCTGCAAAGAAACACTGTCCTGTGACAGCTGACCCTGTTTTTAATCCCCAGTGATGTGTCTGGAGAAACTGGATATATTTGTTACTCTGAGAGACAGATGATGTCTCATCATCTTAATTAGCATCTCGGCTAGCTAGTGTGATCATTCACTTTTTTCCACAAATTTCTTGGCAATTTCTATTTCTTCATACCCAAGTCTTCTCTATTAAAAAGCCACTGCAGAACAAAACAGTTGTAAAAATTTTCTTCTTTGGATTCCATAAACAAGACAGGTGCACATGCCCTTCCTCAGACTCGACCAAACCCTCAAGCTGTTCTCTCCCTGTGCCCTCTCGGCATGATTCTCCTTCAGATGGTCTGGGACCAGCTGCTGCTGCTCTGACTTCTCTCTTCTGTCTTCAGCCCCTTCCATCTGGTTCCTGCTCCTACCAGCATGTGGAAACTATGCCCTCCACACCCAGAGGATCTTGAGCCTCACCCTGCTCCCTAACCCTTGCGTCCCAGACTGCTGGCCAGACTCTTCGTCCTTCTGCAGGGACACTCCCGGGCCTCATCTGTCTCCCTCTCCTAACGGCCCCTTGCCGTCCAAGTCCCTCTCTCCCCAGGTTCCACCTTCTTCATTCCTTGCTGGTGACTCCACACCTACTTGTCATGACTTCTCCCGAGTGCCAGTTCTGCACGTCACAGTGACTGGTGAACATCTCCCTGTGACGTTCTCTTGGGATCCAAGATGACAGCAGCCGGCTGCAGCGTTCAGCACAGAATTCCCAGTCGTCCAGTCCCTGACGTGGGAAGCGGGGAGAGTGCTTCTTCTTCCTGTCAGTCTCCTAGGTGTCTGTGCCTTCACCTCGACCCATGTAGCCTGTTTAAGCCTCTCTTTTCCAACTCTGTGTGGTCATCCCTTAATTCAGTCACCATCAGCTCCATGACCACGACTTGATCAGTGGTCCATGCCCCACGGCCCCTGCTTCCTCATTCTGGACCTCCTTACTTCTTATAAAACTGCATCACTATCCAGCTCTTGGAATATCTAGCTATGTTTTCCCCACATTTCAAGCTACCTAAATATAACCAAGATCCTCCCTAAACATATTTCCAATTCTATTTCCCACATTTTCAGAAGCTTTCGCTTTTCCCCACTGACTCCCATTTTTAATTTTGCGCACATTCAAATGTCTCTATCTTCTCTCATATACTGACATTTTAGCATTAGAAGTTTTTTTTTTTTGTCACTGAAGTCTAATCAGTTTACAATGATGCATCAATTTCTGGTGTACAGCATAATGTTTCAGTCATACATATACATATGTATATTTGTTTTCATATTCTTTTTCATTATAGGTTACTATAGGATACTGAATATAGTTCCCTGTGCTCTGCAGAAGAAACTTGTCGTTCTGACTTTTTAGCATTGTCAGCATTATTTCTCAGTACAGCTTGTGAAATATTAAAACAATTTTTAAAAATTTCTCAGTAGCTTTTGACACTGCTCACTGTTCACTGTTTACTCCCTGACATGTTCTCCTTCCTTGGTCTCTGGGTCACCACTGTCTCCTGGTTTCCTTTTTATCTCTCTAGGCACGTGTTTTGCAAGCTCGTTGTCCCACATAGGTAAATAAGGCATTCCACCAGGCTCAGTCCTGGGCCCTCACTCAGGACCATGCTTCAGTGAGCTCCTGTGGGCAGCTGACATGGGCATGGAAGTCTTCTAGAACTTTCTTCTCAGCTCCAGGCACATATCCAACTGCCTTTTGAAGCTTCTATGTAGATGGCACCTCAGTCTTGACATAATAAAAACAGAATCCGAATATTGAGCCCCAAGTCACTCCTTGTTCCTGTGTCCCTCCTGCTAGGAAATCACCAGGGTGACACTGTCCTCTCAACTACCCCAAATGCAGACCACCCCCTGCAGATTCTGCCTGCCAGGTGTTCTCAGACACATCCACCTTCATCCACAGCCAGCACCTGAGCCTGAGCTGCAGCATCTTCCTCCTGCATCACCGAAATAGCCTCAGATCCTTTTCTGCCTCTGCTCTGTTCCTTGCAATCTGTTTCCTACAGCTGCATCTGGACAGTGTGATCTTTTTCAAAGCCTCATGCTGCATCCTTGCTTAAACCCTTTGGTGGCTCTTCATTCTTTTTTTCTTTTCTTTTCTTAATTTTTTTCAGAACAAAAAGCAGAGCCCTTAACTGGACCCAGTGCTCTCTCTAGCTGGCTCCCTGCCTCTCTTTCGAGGAGGCTCTCACACCCCTGTGCTCTTGGCCCGACCAGCCCTCTTTCTGGGCTTCCATGTGTTACTTTGCCTCCCTCAGCTTCCCTGCTCTTTGGCCTGTTCAAACTCACTTGTCCTCCAGATCTCAGCCCAAGTGTGGTTCCTTACAGAAGCCTTGCCTGAGTCTTGGAGTGGCAGGAGCTACAGCTTCATGGTGTACTGAGTCATCTTCTCGCATCTCCTGTAGCTGCTGCATAATGTTTACTGGTAAATGGACATCTTCTCAGTGTTGTGGGAATTATGCCTCTTTCTCTTCAATAATGAATCAAGAGGATAAAATTTTCTTTCTCCAGCTCAGCTTTGGACCATCGTTTAGTGGTCCCCTGCACAAGCCACCGTGACTTTGATAAACATCCTTCATGGATGAAGAAAGTGAGGCTCAATGACTTAAGGAGCATCGCAAATTCAGTAGAAAATCTGGAGGCTTCGAGTCCCAAACCAGCAGGGATACGAAGCCTTTAGGTGCTTGTAGTGTCCTAATTTGGCTACAGTTTGCTGTCTGAGCAAAGCCCAGGAGAACAAAAGGCGAGACCGGGGTGAGGGTGACTCATCTGTCAGGCAGCCCCTCATTGTGCCTCTTTCACCCGGAGGAAGCGATGCACGAACACCGTTATCCTTCAGAGCGACTTTAGCGCCGTCTGGAATGGGAGTGGGGTTCCTGCGTTTGTAGTGAGCAAGTTCCTGGCTCCTTTCTACCCTTCCCATCACCTTTTGTCTGTCCCTGTGGCTTCCTTATTTTCCAATCCCTCGGCCTGTGGTAGACCCACCTACATCTGTCATCTGTCTCTGCCTGCGCTGCTGTGTCCTGTTCTGCTCTGCGGTCCTTCCGCAGCCTCTCCTGGCCCCCGATCCCTGCTCCCTGTGGGAATTCCTCCCCTGACCCGTCAGGGGCTCACCTCTGGAGGCAATTACAGCATCGACCATGAAAATATATAAGGAGATTTGAAAAGCTATCATGTTACATCCTTCATATTTTACCAGCAATAAATCCAACCCTTTGCTCTCAAGTGGACACTCAGCTCTATAAATCAGGAGTCTGTTTCTGAGGAGGAAGATGTCATAGTCCCCAAGATTCCCTACAACTTGCTCATATTTCAAGTGCTGCACCAGCATTGGCCTAAGAAGCCAGGGGCTTCCAGAATAAAAGGAAGTTTTGCTCCAAGAGCTGAATCCACGCACTTCTGGCTTCTTCCTCCCACCCTTCCTGGTCAGCTTCTCTTGGATTTCTGTCCGGCACTCTGGCTCTGGTCAGCCGGCCGCAGGCCATCCCTGGAATCTGCTGTTGCTATATAATTGTGTCTCCAAGCATCTTTCCTTGCACCACCTGTGCCCATGGGCCGGGCAGGGCTTGTGAAAATGCCCAGGCAGATTCTCTGGGGTAGGGGCTTTGAAATCTGCATTTTCATCTCTTCCAGGTGCTCAGTGAGGTTGTAAACAGCCATTCTATGTGTTCAGTTTTGGGGATCTGAGCTCCAGTTCCGAAAACCTGGCCTTCACTTTCTCCTTATTTCTAACTCCATCCCTGTAGGTGCTGACCCAGACCTCTCTAGAAAATAGTCCACAAGGCGGCCAGAGAGTAGCTCTTCCTTCCCCATCCTGAACCTCCCCCACCAGCCCTGATGGCGCTGGGCTCCTGGCTGCAGAGGACCCCAGGACGATGAGGATGGCCCTGCCAACATCCCCTTGGTGGCTTGGAGTTGGCAGGAGAGAAACTTTCTAGGGCAGTTCATGAATGTACACAGCCAAACAGAGAAATAAACGTTGTCTGCAGGGTGGCTTAAGTCCTGAAGATCCAAGACAGGAACTGCATGTAGGCAGAGTAAAGCTGTAGGGGAAGGGGCAGAGGCAGGAGTCCAGCAGCCGGGAGGAGAGGCAGGCCAAGGGTGGCGGCACAGCAATGGGCAGGGCAGGCAGGCAAGTGAGGTCTGTGCGGAGGGTGGGCCCTGACGTGGAGTCCAGGTTGAGCACCTGGGCAGGGCTGGCTCCTCAGGGCCCTGTGCCTGTCTGGACAGAGTAGGCTGGACCATACTTGTCCCCTCCAACTGCCTCCGTCCTGGGGTTCAGGTTGGAGTCAGGCATTAGTACCTCTCAGGTGCTGGTAGGGCCTGCCGGCTGGATTGCAGACACCACAGCTGTCCTGCTCTCAGTTCACTCCGTCAGGGAAATCGCAG